CAACTATTTCCTGACCAACATCATCAAAATACACTTTCCAACTATCTTCACCTTTAGCATCTGGCAGTTTTAGTTCATCGTTCTCTATGCACATCGCCTAAATGTTTTGCTGATTATTGTTACCGCACATAGAACGAGAATGACTTGTGTCCCACCTGGAAAAGATGTTCATGTAAACAAGTGTACTGTACATGATACGATGCCAATTTCTCCTCTCCTCTGATCTCTACAGAAATATGCAGGCGAATTGCACCCGAAACTGCCGATTTGTCCGTGCGCTTTTCTGCAATTTATGAGCCATACATAATTTTCGTTAAGCTAATGCACAGATTATATTTTATTGCAGCTATTTTATCCTTGAAAGCATTACTAATCCACTTATAATGGGCGATAAAATAGCAATCAGCCTTTTGTGGACATAATCATAAAATTTCGTCATCCATGAAACAACAAAAGATTGCAAGACACATAGGCAATTTGCAGCAAAAGTTTTTTTTTGCAGTACTGTAAATACATGTCCAAAAATGTGCCTATTGTTTGATCAATATTAAAATTTAATTTCAAAACTTTCTTAAATTAGATATTTGTGAATTCAATTTGAAAAGCTACATAGTATGACTATGATGTATAGTTGTAGGTGATTATAGCATTGCCATTAATCACTCAACGTAACTTATCGTAAGCATTTCAATAGAAATTTACTTGGTGTTGAAGATCTTTCTCTTAGATGAATCCCTTACATCGCCTCGTAAAAACGAAAATTTTTCAAACTAAGCGAGTTATCAACGATCAAACAGTTGGCACTTTTTTTGAGAAACTTCATTGAATCATAAATTCCATAGAAGGAGATTATGTCTTAACGTAAACAATATTAAAAGTCAGATCCACACTTATTTTCTACTTTATTTGAAGCAAGTCTTACACTCACCGAGATTGTACCAAACGTCCATCTCTCCTGACAGTGTTCGCACTTCAATTACGGTCTGTCCAAGGAAGTCATCGCTCTCTCGCGTCAACTTTTGTCTTAACTTTGACTTCAGGTCATTGTCCTCATCCCAAACACGTACTTTTATGCGATCTGTGGAATTGTGGCATTCGCTGAAATGACGGAATCAATCCAACAGTTGAAAATATGCAGAAAATTTCAAAAAAATTTACAAATAGAATTTTTCGTTCCAAACCGGATTCAGCTCTTGATGAATAGTGCGCGTTCGTCGTTTAACTTTACCAACCTGAAAGAGTGACTGCTTATTCTACATCAATAAGCAATGATTGTGATGTCTGCTGCGTTCTACTAACTTCTTATTTCGGATGTTCTAGCAAAAAAAAAAGAAGATGATTGGATTTAAACAAATATCAAAAACAAGAAGGACAGAAA